GAGTTGGCAGCAGCCGGTAGAGTTGGTGGATTCGCAGTCGCATCCGATGGAGCCTTAGTCTTCGAAGGTAGACTTTGTGTTCCGAAGGTGTGGGAACTGCGGAGAGAGATTCTGAAGGAAGCCCATAGTGCCCCGTACACCATCTATCCTGGTAGCACGAAGATGTATCAGGACCTGAGGAGATCTTTCTGGTGGCGTGGCATGAAGTGGCAGATAGCGAGATTCGTGGATGGGTGCCTGGTGTGTCAGCAAGTGAAGGCTGAGCGCCAGAAACCGAGAGGATTGTTGCAGCCTTTGGAGGTTCCCCAGTGGAAGTGGGATTGCATCGCCATGGATTTCTTGGTTGGTCTGCCGAGATCGAGGAGCGGGCACGATTCGATTTGGGTGATAGTGGATCGCCTTACGAAGTCTGCCCATTTTCTGCCTGTCCGGACGACCATGAAGGCGAGTGATTACGCCGAATTGTTCGTCAAGGACATTGTCAAGCTTCATGGAGTGCCCGTGGAGATTGTTTCGGATCGAGATGCCAAGTTTACATCCCAGTTCTGGAGATCGTTGCACCGAGCCATGGGGACGAGGTTGCAGTTTAGTACAGCCTTTCACCCCCAGACCGATGGTCAGTCGGAGCGTGTGATCCAGTACTTGGAGGATATCTTGAGGGCTGTGGTCTTGGACCGAAGCCTGACTTGGGAGTATGCCCTTCCGCTAGTCGAGCTGACCTACAACAACAGCTACCACTCTTCGATCAAGATGTGCCCATACGAGGCTTTATATGGACGTAAGGTCCGGACTCCTTTGTATTGGGATGAGGTCGGAGAGAGGAGGATCACGGGACTGGATTTTGTTCAGAGTACGGCTGTGACTGTTGAGGAGATCCGGAAGGCCATCCGGTCCGCCCAGGAGAGGCAGAAGGTCTATGCCGACCGGGAGAGGCATGAGCATGGGTATGCGGTGGGAGATCATGTTCTCCTGAAGGTTTCGCCCATGCGAGGGGTGATTCGCTTTGGGAAGCGAGGTAAGCTCAAACCTCGTTATATTGGGCCGTTCGAGATCCTCGACCGAGTCGGGAACTTAGCGTATCGGCTGGCTTTACCACCGGACTTGTTGGGCGTGCATGACGTATTCCATGTATCGATGCTTCGGAAGTATGTGCATGACCCTGGCCATGTTGTGGACTTCGGCGAGCTGCAGGTCGATCGAGACCTTACCTATGAGGAGGTGCCGGTAGCTATTTTGGATCAGAAGGTCCATCAGCTGAGGAACCGGGCAGTGAGCTTGGTGAAAGTGCTGTGGAGCCGACACGATGAGACCGAGGCGACTTGGGAGAGGAAGGACGGTATCAGGAGGCGTTATCCGAACTTCGAGTTATGAGTTCTCCTTTGTATCTTTTATCGCTTTCTAGTTTTGTTTTCGAATTCCGAGGTCGGAATTCTTTGTAAGGTGGGTAGACTGTGACGCCTCGTTCGTTTATGAATAATTTTGGATTATTGTTATTATTATTATTATTATTATTTTTGTCATTATTTGTGGCTAATATTGCTATTAGTAATTGATTGTCTAAATGCTAAAA